CCGCAGAGCGGGGTCGGCGGATTTCTATACTTCCTATAGTTCCTGTACTTTCTATAGTTCCTATAATTCCTATAGTTCCTGTACTTCCTATAATTCCCATAATTCCTATAGTTCCTGCAATTCCTATACATGGCCCAAGCTGCTGAGGCTGCTGGCTCTGCGTCGGCCTCAGTGGACTCTCCGATGAATGGCTCGGGGGCGCTGGATGCCAGCTCCAGCCAGGTGCGGGGTTTCACCCTTAAACCTTAACCCTAAATCCAGCTTTCCCAAGCCGTATCGGGCGAGAGCGACAAAAATGATGAGGGATGGTCTGCATGTGTGGCACTGGATGTGTGCATGTCGGGTTTAGGTTTGAGGGTTTAGGGTTCAGGGTTTAGGGTTTAGGGTTTAGGTTTTAGGGTTTAGGGTTTAGGTTTTAGGGTTTAGGGTTCAGGGTTTAGGGTTTAGGGTTTAGGTAAAAGAGGGCTAACCAGGGATGTTCAGGGTTTGGGGTTGTTTTATAATGGAGATCTTCGAAGATGGGGAGCGGGCTCGAGCTTCATAGAAATGACAGTATAGTATGTGTGGGATATAGATCGAGAGTGTATATGGGTTGCTTACGCTGAAGTGCTCAGAAGAAGTCCAAGTTGTGAGTGGTCCTTCCCTGGCAAGGATCCTGGCTGTGTTCTTCTACCTAGGGGTTAGTAGGGAATAAGGGAGTATCTATTCCTCATTTTACGATGTAATCCTTATAAAATTTTCCCATATCCCCGACCACCCCCCAGTAAGTTTTTTGGTGCATTTCAGCCAGGTCAGTGCCTCCTGCAATGAGATGAGCATTGGGATGGACTACAGTGTAGAGCTTTCCACGGAGTTGGACGAGAAGTGCGATTTCGTGGAGCCTGTGAAGCCTGTCGCCAAGCGCGGCCTGGGGGGCTTCAATGCCCCAAGCACCACTGTAGGCACCATCGAGGAGGACGCAGAGGAGGCGGAAGAGCTCCGCACCTCAGAGAAGCAAGAAAAGCCCAAAGAACAGGTCCCGGACGGGTCCGGGAAATCGGCCTCAGATGTCATAGCCCAGCTGAAGCCAGCACCAGATGCGTTGGATGCCCTGATGCCCAAAGAAGAAGTAAAGGCAAAGGGGGGTGGCGATGCATTGGATTCCTTGATGAGCTCCGCAAAACCTGGGTCCATGGCCAATCCATCGCCAAAGGCGAAGGAGGCGGCTAAATCGGAAGAGAAGGATGAGGATGACTATGGAGATGCTTCCTTCGATGGTAGCATGTCTGTGCCTGAATCCATCCATGAAGGGGCAGGCAGTGGCAGCGATGCCTGGGCCAGCGAGGAGGATGTGTGAATCTCTCTCGCCTGCAGCCTGCTTGAGTACTGTGCATACTGTGAATTGTGCAGCGGTAAGACCGCAGCTCGTCTACCATCGCATCAACCTTTGAATTCGAAATGCTTGGAAAAGGCGTGCTGGAGCTACACATGACTGCTACAAATGGCCCTATGATCCGAAATGCTCCTGATGAAGTCTGGAAGCATGCTCAAAGCATTGGCAACCTTGCCACCCTGGGCGACTGAATTCGCTTTTCACTGAGCATGAGTTAGCCTTTCCAGTGTTAAGGGTATTGCTTTTTGACGCCTAGATACAGACACAATAGTTCTAGCTTAGGCTTAGCCATCGCTCCCAAAGGGATCTGCAATTTCGGAAAGCTGCTCCATGTCCCCTTTTCTAACCTCTACAATCCTGCCAAGCCCCATCTGTCCCCTACTAGTAAGCAATTGAAGAGTGCTTCCGCTGAAACGGGACCCATCATGTATACCATAGCCTAAACTCCTTAAAGTGCGTTATGTAGGGGATTATATGGGGGACTACTATCGGGGTTATTAAGGAGGATACTAGGAGAGTAGACCGTAGCTCATGTGGTTTGCCATGGCAAGTCGCGCAAGAAGTTGCAGCTCTTTGCCTGGACTGAGAAATGTGCCAACCTTCAAAGGCAGGGGCCTGGGCTTCTTCAATCCCAGAACTTTCATGATGCTGTCTTATCCTCATGTCTTGTCCCCATTTTAATATATTATTGCCATTATCGAGAAGAACAATGGTGATTATCATTACTTCTACTGTCTTCTTTCTTTGGTGCCCCAAGCCCATCACTTGTGCTCGGAGGCCTGGTTGGAAGATGTGCAAGCTCCGCAGGCAGCCAGGAGCCCGAGCAGGTTCCCATCTCGGTGAGAATGAATGATAGCAACAGTAACAGTAACAAGAATAGCAATACAGTAATAATAACAAGGATAGTACTAGTATGAATACTAGTCATTACAGCAATGATAGTAATAGCAACCATGATAGTAGAAAAAAAGGGTGCGAGGACACACTCGCCACGAGGATGGTGCTGGTAAGTGTGCATGAGAAGGGAGTTTGGACCGGCAGCATAGCAAAACCCTAAACCCTAAATAGTAGTTTCCATTTTATTTTCCATTATCCCAGTATAACCCCAGTATAACCCTAATTTTACCCCAATGGGTACTCTTATCCATTCTGATATTCGGGCCGGGCGCTTCGTGGAACGGAGTAAACAAACAATACGATGGCAATGATAGCACGCAGCGCATTACATCGCACGTAACAGTCATAGCTACAGAGATGCTTCTCAAATTATGAACGAGCTATTGTAATGTTGGCGGTGTCGCTCTCATGCATCGTGAAGATGAAGATGATGATGAAACTAGCAGACGTGCCGGCCGTACTTGTTGTAGTGGCCAAGTCAATATTCAGAGCAGCGTCCGTAGTCAGAATGGCACTGCCTGCGACTATAGTATTTGACCGCTTTGCAAAGCTTAGCTTCCATCCACAAGGCTCTAGATGAGAGACAGAGTTTGGAGCAAAACATAAAGCACTCATATTCCCCAGAACTTGTGCAACCCTCTTATTTTGGGAACTCCTACGTCCTAAGTTTGAAGAACCCCAGATTTTGCAAAGCTTCGTAAGGCCGCCGCATCTGGCATGTCTACCTCGGCTAAGGCAGGACATGGCAGGACATACGAACATGGAAGGGACCATCATTTAGAACAACCCGATGCAATAGTCAGTATGGCCGCTATTCACTTTGGCTACACCCTATGTGAGGTCTTGCGGGCTACCCTAATTTTTGATGTTGCGATGCCCTGGGCTTCGTGGCAGGTTATCGGAGGAGGAGTTACTGCACTGTTCATTACTCGGCTTGTCAAAACCCTCGGCTGTGCTACGAAACTGCCAGTCAGGGTTTCTGTCATGTTGCTGGGCCAAGGTTCCTACTCATCTTTCACATTATGATTGCTGCGGCCTCGCTTCTTCGAGCATGGAACAATGAGATGGCAAATCTCCAAGGTCAGCCAGCGGGAGCAGCAGGAGATTTGAGATTGCAGCCCAGGCCGGGCACAGTTTCCAAAAGCAAGCCTATGCAAAGGAGAAGATGTACCGCGAGAAGATCCAGACTTTGCAAGATGAGGCCGTACCCTGAACTTTTTTGTGGATCGTGCATGAAGCAGCTCATGATAGCTCATGGACAGGTCTCTCAACTCACATTGCGCCTTCGAGAGGCCCGCTGCACATCTTTCAGACTTGGGATGAGTGGCTGGATATGTCTTTCCTTAACTTCATCCGTCGCTCCTTGCTTTCTGCAGGTTGAAAGGGCCCGATTTAAGGGCAAGCAGAAGCCTCAGCAAAGCCCCCTCTGTACGGAGCGAGTCTTGTCTCTTTGCGCACAGATAAGGCCGGCACCGGTCGTGGAGTAGTTGATGCCCTGCTCGAACAGCTTGCTCCAAGATGACCTGCGGCGAGAGAGTTCCGCCACACTGCCGCCAATGGCCGTGTGAAGGCCTTAAGCAGTAGCATCGTGATGCCTCCTGTAGCTTGGGAGAAGCCCGTCACCCAGACAGCAGACAAGCTGCTGCCGTCGAGCACCAGACCAGGGCAGCACGGCCTCGATTTGGCGGACAGCTGTGTGTGCAGCATCGGGAGAAGCGTTTTCGCGGAGAAACGTTTTCGCAGATGTCATTCACGAAGCGGACTTAGAGAGTCCGGCTTCTCTTGGAGCGTGACTTGTTGCAGGCTGCCTCGGGCTCATTTCGCCTCTGGATTCTGAAGAGCAGTTCAGGCTTCCAAGCCCCAATTCTCTTCACTTTAGCTGCGTCTGCCTGCGCATTGCACGGTATACACTCAAGCCCACACAGCCCAAAGAACACATGCTTGTGGATCGAGCAATGTAAGCAAAAGAGCTCTTTGAGCCAGCATCCTGTCCTCGATGACGGCTACACATTCAGCTGCTGTCTGAGGGACCTTGTCAGCGACGATAGCTGCCAGCATGCAAGTGGTGACTTTTCAGGTGAAAGAGGTGCTGGGGGAGAGCTTGAATGTCTACATCTCTGGATTGCTTGGGCCCCTCGAAGCTGCTTGTGTGAAGCAACTGCAGCAGTGAGATCAGCAGGTTCAAAGCAGAGTACTCCCACCCGTTTATGAACATCGATGCCGTTGTCGTACCAGACAGTGCGGGGGGCTTGGTCAGATTGCCCCGCTAAATCCCGTTCTGGCTGGGACCGGGTCAGCCTTACCACATCTAACCGCACAGAGGTCAAACCCATCCCTCCACAGTGGGTCAACGATGTGGAGCTGGATGAGTTTGGGCGCACGCCTGAGAGGGGCCTTTAGGCAATTTTGTGATATTCCTTGGCAACTCGGAGTATCTGCTACGGCTAGGATGCATTGTCCACCTCAGGGCCGAAATGGGCGACGTGATCGGAGAAGGCCCTGTTCTGGCTTGGAGCACGGAGGCCGTACTGCTGTTGAAGATGACTGTTTCGTGTGTGTTCGACGATGTGAGCGGTACGTACGCAGCAGATTTGTTACCACTTCTGTGTCACATGATTGTGCGAGCAAAGTGGCCATGACATGGCCATCTCTGACCCAGCAGGAGCGCAAACAGCGATACCAACATGCCCTTCGCAGACTGGACCTCAATGAGGCGCACCCAACAAATCAGTGTCAATCACTTTGGCATTCTTTGTCATCATTCCTTCCTCCAAACACTCTGAAAAGCTCTGTAAAGCCGAGAGTTCATAGCAGGAGATGCTGAGCTCGAAGCGCATCACATTGATGAGCCCAATTCTCAGATGTTTTGCTGGGGATGTGAAATCCATGCTTGACCAACAGTTTTTCCTCAGAGCTGACCAGCTCCACTGCTTTGGACATGTTTTGGCTTGGTTCTTGCTGGACCTTTGAGTGCAAAATCAGCGGTCAGATGCGCTGGTTGCACAAGTCAGCTCACATAGGAGCAATAGCTTTGGCAAAGGCAATCGCAGGGTCGGGATGTTTTTTTGAAGGTAGGACTATGGTGATTCAGAAGCCACTGGAATGTGTCAGCTCCCTGCCTCTTGTGCCGTAGTGCTTTTTGGGTCAACTTGGTGGAGTCTGCTATGGCCTAGGCTGGGACAGTACAGTTCTCATATGTCTTTAGTTTTTATCACATTAGCAATCTGCTTCTTTTTGGTCTTCTTTTTGGTGGGAGCAAGTATGGACCAGTCTTGTCAGATTCCATGCACTTTCAGAGACAGTTCAACCCTTGTCTACAGATCCGTTAAATGGACACTGCGCCGTAGACATTCTGCAGAAAGCGGCTCTGGTGTAGACACCATGACATGGAGACCTTTTCTCCTTCAACGCAGAGGACTGCAGGAAATACGTTTGCTAGGATTCTTAATCTTATTGTGTGCGGATGCTACTACAGCTGGCATGCACCTAGGCAAAACAGAGCTCGGCCAAGAAAAGAAGCGTGTCAAAGCGGCTTGAGCCTCAGAGAAGTTTGGGTTGCACAGGTGGATCAGGTGAGGAACAGCCCAGTGTATGGGATAAGTGCTTCTCCACAGAATGGGTGCTTGATAGCGCGGCTCTTCTGCGTTTTTTGGCAGGTCTGTGATGTTGAGACATGCCCGGAAGCCACCCCAGGAACTCAAACGCTACGACACTGATTGGAAGAAACAGCCCAGAGCTCAGGATATGCTACCGAGGTTTTCTCTCACATGAGTCGTACCTTCAACTAGGTTTACTGCGCATCCAAATGACGGTGGAGGATGGTATCCGATAGTTTTTTATAAGGAGGATATGAGGAACAAAGTCTTCCTTGGTCTGACTACTCCAATTCTACGGGGCTCCCGATTTCAGTTAAACTCTGAGGTTCAAGGTGTTGCCGAACCACTCCCAAAAGGAGGTGATGCGACCGCTGTACCTTTACTACAGGACACGGGTGGTTTAGGGTTCAGGGTTTGGGGTTTGTTTTGGGGAGGCACTGGGAAGCCACAAATGGAGTTTGAAGGGGTTAGCTTGGCCAAGAGATCAGACGTGGGGACTAGCTTTCGCGGTTTATCACTTCCCATTTGAGTTTTCCGTGAGCTGATATTTATTCAAGCGCAGGAGGCTTTGTTTACACCTGTATGTTTGCATATCCTCAATTTCTAGAGATTTCTGGCGCATTCAGTACTTGAATTGCATCGCAAATCTGGCAACGAAAGCGTGAGGCGGCTGAAGAACCAGCTAGCCAGTGCGGACTCGGGTGCTCGAGGTGCACTGCCTGAAATGCTGGAACGCCTTTTCTGGAATGTTCGTGTATCATGTCAGAGTAGAGGGCAACTCCCATGCTTGGATAAGACCTCCCAGAATGCACGGGTCTCGAGTCATCCGTTGCATGTCGATCACAAGCCGCAGCGGAGCAAAAGATCAATCTCATCCTTGCCATGATGTCATTTCGGTCCTGTGCCAGATCAAGACAGCGATGACGACCTCTTGGGAAGGCAACGGGATGATAGGACAGCTGCTTTGATATGCTGCTCATTATAATGGGTTGTCATGACGACGCTCATTATAATTTCTGCTGCTGCTGGTACTGCTGCTGCTGCTGCTGCTACTACTACTGCTGCTATTACGACGACGACGACTACTACTACTGCTTCTTCTTCTATTCATGCTGATGATACCATGCATGCGCCGACTTGAACGTGTGCAGGCCATCTGGACCTGAAAGTGCGTTCGGCACCTAGATGCGCTGAGAGACACTGCGTTCAATCCTGATTATGCCAGTAGTCATAGGGTGAATCGTCAACGCAGGCTTTTGAAGAGAGGAGTCATATCGAGACAGTGTCAAGACTAAGCTGATACCAGTGTGATGGCTGAGGCGGTCTGGCAGGCCTGGTCCTCAGATCTGGTGGCTGAAAAATGTCGCTGCTGCCTGTCGGACGGGGCGTGACGAGGCGGCCAAACAGGGAGAAAACAGAGCTGCAGATCTCCCAGCTTGAGGCCAGTTTGGGCTTTGCGCTCGCCTTGCAGTGCCATTCCTAATTTATCCAGGCGCGGGCCAACTCGCTGCAACAGGAGAAAGGCCCGGTCATGTGCTGCTTCGCGCGAGGTGTTCCGTATCCTCTCAGCTGCAGCAGCACCAGGTGTCATAAGGACAAAGTTGAAGGAGTTCCAAGAGAGTGCCGGGCTTGGACAGCAGCTTTTCAGAACGAGAGCCATGTCGAGGGCAAAAGAACATAGTCATCCTGAGACTTTCTTCTCCAGCATCATCGCAAGATTCGCTTCCACAAGGCCTTCCGCTTCTCCTCTGTGTGGCAGCTGCAAGAGTTGCAGCAACCTGCTGAGCAGGACATCCTGCCCATCGAGAAGGAGTACAGGATGTACAAGAACATCAAAGAGGAGCTGCAAAAGGCCACAACACGGTGTCGAGCGTCGTGTGCCAGATACAAACAATCGGCCCTTGTTCTGTCAGGTGGAATCACAATTGCGCAGCTTGCGCCAGTGCCCAAGTGAGAAAGCCCGCCTCCAGCGCGCTTCAGCTTCGTTGCCGTCTGATCTCAACACATCCAAAGTATGGTACATCTTAGTGGACGCCGCAGCTTTTTGGAAGGGGCTTAGAAGTGCGCCCTTGTGCCTCCGGGATCGCGACCATGGCAGCTTGGCAGCAGAAGGGTTGTGCCAACAGCTATGAGGTGCGGTCAACATTGCTGTTTGACATATCTTGGTCTAGGCGGTATTTGTTGCGCAAAAATTCTCATGATCGATAGCGGACGTCCTAAAACAACAGGCATAATTCATTTCGTTAGGCTAGAATAGTCAGGGAAGAGTCCGAAAGCCAGAGATCGTAGATTCAAAAACCCAAAGAGGCCAAGCACATAATTTCGACGTCGCCTCATGTTGTTCCTTGATAGCACGTCTGGCTGGTGCCATCTGGTGCCCCTCTCTTCACCAGACACATGGAGGGCAGACCCATGTATAAGAGATTGAGCTCCTTTGTTTGGTGGCAAGCGATTGTGGCTGGTGAGGCCCTTCGCTTTCGGGGTGTCCTCCTCCTGGCAGCTGGATACCTCAGATGAGCTGAACCCTGTTGCAGCCGTCATGAGAGGTATCACTTTGACTGAGACAAAGATTATGATGATTCTGCTGCTGTTGGGCCAATCGCTGCTGTCACCGGTGTTGTTTTAAATCATCACAGCTGCTTCTACCGCTGGGCCCAGCTTTAAATGTGACCTGAGGTCGCCGCGGTGCTGGCGCTGGTGAACTGCCCTAGCTTCGTGAACACTGGCGTCCAAGGCCCCAACTCCACGTGGGATGATAGGAGATGATAAAGGTAAGAGCATCCAAGAGCTACTAGGCTAGGGGCCCATGGCATGGTGACTGGAATTTAAAGGACGCGTCCGTGAGGATCTTTACAGGTGAGTCTACGTAGTTAGGGTCCTCACCCAATTGTGGACACCAGAAGAATCTCTGGAAACGGATGCCGCGTTTCGTAGCTCTTGTAACTCAGCCTGGGATGGTTTGATCCTGCTTTGGAGTGATCATGGCAACTCCAATGCATGCTAACTTGCGTGTACGCTCCTGCAACGCTGCATACCTCCCATGGCCGAGAGCGTGTGCACCTGTATGCACATGTATGCACTAGGTGTGGAAGTGGATAAAAGGATCTCAAAACGATGGTCCTGTTGTTTGGAAGAGGCAGTTTAGGGGCCGTATGATACAGGGGACCCAAAGATGGACCACATTTTTGCCAACCTGCCATATTTGATCTGCCCCAACAGCGTTCGAACACCCCTAACCCCCCAAATCCATGCCATGCGTGTGCAGAAGGGGGCCTGATGCGACGGGACCCTCAAGGAAGTGGAATGAGTCAACTTGAGTAGGCAGTCTGAGCTGCAAAGGCCGTCCAACTGCTAGACAGGAGGAGGAGGCTTGCCTTTTAAAAGAAGGAGTGACGGAGCCTGTCCGGGGTCGTCTTTCCACTGTGTTGCGTTAGGCTCAAAATGACCCCTCTGTTTCCCCCTTGTCTGTAGAAGCTCTGAAGTGCTGCGGAAGCAGGCCGCCTTGCGAAGGAGACGGCACTGAGAGCCGAGGCAAAGAAGGCCCGAGTCTTTCATCGGAAGCTGCTACAGTATATTTGGGGTTATACTGGGATAATGGAAGAGAAAATGGAAACTAGCATATAGTACATTTTGGGATTGTACTGGGATGGTGGAAAAGAAAATGGAGACGACTATAGCATGTTGGGGTTGTGTAGTGATAACGGAGAAGACCATGAAAATTACTATAGTCTATCGGGGTTGCTGCACATTTTTGCAAGTGGGTATTTGTCAAAGGAAAGGGCCCATCAGAGCCTGATGAACATGTACTGTAGGGATTCTAGAGGTCCCTAAACTCCCATTTGTGTCAGAAGGAGAAGAGGAAGTAGGTGTGAAGGGAATAGTAGTTTCTATTTTCTTTTCCATTATCCCAATATAACCCCAATATATATATATATATACCTAACAACCCCTACATAAACTCCTAAACCCTAAACCCTAATATAGCAGTTTCTATTTTCTTTTCCATTATCCCAATATAACCCCAATATATTTGTGTATATATACATACCCAACAATCCCTACATAAACTCCTAAACCCTAAACCCTAAACCCTAATGTAGTAGTTTCGATTTTCTTTTCCATTATCCCAATTGTCTGCTTTTGTAGGATCCTGGCATTCGGGGACTTTGGGCATGCAAAAAGGGGCACCGAGAACTAAGCAGTCAGATGTAAATCGTGCAACCTTTCCAGTGACTTCAGGGGTTATGTAGGAATAGTGGACAAGCAACTGGAAACTACTATCTAGGGTTTGGGGTTTAGGGGCACTGGAAAATTAGCAATGCTTTTGAGCTTTGCTGGGTCTCGGGTTGAGGCTTCAGGGTTGGGTTCAGGTGGGGAGCAACATTAAAAGGGTCTATGTGCTTCCGAGCGCATGCCTTGTTTCCACACTATCCTGTTCTCATAGGCACCACCAACATTAAGAATGAAGCAGATACTCTGACAAACAAATTCAGATGCCCCGACACATTCCGGAAGAGGGTACCCAAAAATGCCCGCAAGTCCAGCATGTTAGCATGTCCCTCGGAAGCCTATGGGACCCAGTCCCCATAAGACTTAAATGTTTGCTAAGTGATCCCTGTGAAAAACCTCGCCTTTCGTTGCATGATGCCGCACCGATTTGGCCAAGGCGCCCAAGAAGAAGGCCGCTTGGAGAAAAACGAGACAGGTTTTCCAGTCCAGAGGTGCTCTTAGGCCCCCAGGGATACTCAGGGGATACACAGGGATGTAGCGCCCATCACAAGCGTCTCGTCTCAGGGCTTGACACTATTCATCTCAAGAAGCTCTGAAGGGAAGTTTTCTGGTATTTCGAGGTAATCTGGGCCTCATAGCTAAGCCCACCAACCCTGAACCATGGCAACTGGAGGCCAAGGGTCCGTGGGTCGGACCAAAGAAGGGATCATGGGTGAAGATCCTGCGCCCTGAGTCCTACTGGCCACTTGGCTTTCCTTAACACGAATCTTCAGGCGTTTACCCCATCTTGCGCCCATGTCAAAGTCGGAGGTTCCAGCAGCGAGGGCAGGTGGTGAACGTGAACCAGAAGCCAGAAGTCAAGTACCCAGTTACTGCCCGGGCCATAGCGCCAGAGGTAGCGCTGGAACGATGTCTGCAATGCTGCTGCAATGTTTGGCATTGTTTGATTCCAAAGCCACTCGACTGGCTATCCCTGTCATATCCTCGGAAGTTTTGAGTTCTATATCAGGTGAAGTTCGACTCAGTGAACTATGCCAACGTGAACACCAACGGCTATGCGCTCTGGGAGGCAGGTGCATCCCACCCTCTGATCATGATGAATCCAAACTGCTAGATTCTGCGATCTCGCTGACCAGTCTGTACTTTCCTTTCCGATCCGAAAGGGTACTTGTACTGGGTCCTGGGTTCTGTTGGGTACGATTGGCCTCGTGAAGGGTGCGATGCTCACAAGATCGGTGTTTGGGCCTTAAGGCTCCAAACTCCAAACCATGAACCTTAAATCTCAGACTTAAAAGTCCCCTAATCCAAAAAATGACTTGAGTCCAGTGGCCTCCAGGTCATCGAGGCGCCTGCCCCTGGCCCAGGCGAGGTCTGAGCCGGGAAAGATTGCCCCAGGCGTTTTTGAAGTCGGGCAAAAAGAGGCGCCGCAAGGAAAGATTGGAAGACTGCACCTTGATGTCTCTCCAGCCCTCTTTCATGTCAGCTATAGTCCAAAAGGGGTTATACAGGGGTTTATACAGGGGAGTATTATAGGGGTTAGCGGTTAGAAAGGGGGATACTAGATGAAAGCTCATGTGGAGATCAGAAGCCTTTGATTTTGGATGGTTTGGCATTTCTTGGCGAGTGTGGCTAAATTCCACGTGACGCAGCCAGCTAAGGTGGAAGCGCGGTGCTGTGAGTGCCTTGGGCTTGCCAAACCCGTGCAAGCCTGGCTTCAAGTACAGCTGTTTCACCTTAGCCGTGCCAATGGATCATTGGACTTGCTTGTAATGAAGGCAATTCTTGCAAGGTCTGAGCCCAGTTCTGTCTGGTATGTGGCTGGCCTGCACTGACGCCAGCATGCTTGCTACTTCTCGCTGAGCCACCCTTCTTTCAGCTCAAAAATTGGTCCCGGGGGGGGGCATGAAGGACGCTGCCCCACTCTCCATCTCGACCGCCGTGAAATCTGCAGGGCGATGGCAAGATTGGTCAGCTGCCCTGAAGTGCCTCTACGACAGCAAGGTCAGATGGGGATGTAAGGTAATTCTCCTAGAGCCTTGCGTGTACAAGTGGCCCACTTATGAGAAACCATCAGGTCGCCATGAGTTATAAGTCGTCTGGGCTCTGGTCTCACGTTTCAATTATCAAGCCCTGGGATATCCTGGGATGATGCGGAGACCCAAGATGCAGACCCCAGATGCTGTGAGAATCGACAGAGGCATGTAGCCAAATTCAAGGCCCAGAAAACCTCAGGGCAGAACAAGATGCCGCCCATGCCAGGCCTTGTCCGAAGAACAGACATGGCATCCCTTGGCCCTGGCACCGCCCATGGCCGCTCTGGGCGTATGCGCGAGAGCGAGCGCCTGGAGCGGGGCAGTGCAGGCAGGAGCCTCGCGGGTTTTAAGCAGGAGGATTCTTGCCGGTTTTGTAGGCAACATAGAGTGCTTGGGGATTTTTGAGCCAAGATTCAATTCTCTCCAGTTTTGGGAGAAAATTCACAGGAAGCCACTTGGCAGGAAGCAAGGTTCGCAGGGTTGCCCCTTACTTCGTGGATTGTACCAGTTTGCCAGGTCCTTGGGGCAATTGGTGCCTCGGGCCTCCGCCCAGATCTTTACATCATTGGCTCCGCCCTCAACGCCTGTGATAGAGGCTTTGCATGGTCCACAGCCCTGCATCTTCTTCGCGGAGTTGGAAAGTATGGGCTCTCTGTCAGCGAGGTGTTGGTGAACTCCGCGACCACGGCATGTGACAAGGGCAACCAGTGGACCTGCTCTCTCTGGCTGCTCATGGACATGCGAACCAAGAGGTGTCAACTGGATAGCCTTATTGGGCACAGTGCAGCGATGGCTGCTTGTGCCCGTTTTGAAGCGCAGTGGGCTAAGTCCCTGGTGCTCTTTGAGCGGCTGCCCCATCACCGCTTCACCCCGGACTTGATCGCCTGTAACAGCGTCATGCATGCCTGCGCCACTGGTTCCGCGGTAGCAGTGGCAACGTATCTGGTTTCAAGAATGCAGCAGCATGGTCCCCTACCAGATCTGGTCACCTTCAACACCTTCATCACCTCTTTGAGCAACTCGCAGGCCTGGTTGCAGTGCCTTGAGATTTTGGACTCCCTTGAGGAAAACGGTGCGCTCTCCCCCTCTGTGGTCACTTACAATGCTGTAATTAGCTCTCTGGGGCAAGAGGGCTGGCGTTGGAGCCTCTGGCTCCTGGAAAAGATGCGTGCAAGGTCTGTGCGCTGCGACGTGGTGACTGCCGGTTCCATTCTGAGTACGCTGGCGCGTGCCGCGCAATCGGACGCAGCTCTTTCGTACCTCTCGATCTTGGAGCGGGACCCGGCCTTGACAAACGAGGTGGTCTACAGCGCAGCTGTCTCTGCCTGTGAGGGAGGACGGCTCTGGAAGGAGAGCATCGCTTTGATCGTCAGGGCCAGGTCCATGAAATTGAAGACGGATGCAGTTGTCTACGGTGCAGCATGCAGCACGTGTCAGAAAAGCCAGCTTTGGGAACATGCCGTGAGTTTACTGGGAGATGCACGGTACCAGTCCACAGTGAGCACTCCGTTGTCCAACGCAGCGATCTCTGCGTGTGCGGACTCAGCGCAGTGGCTCTTGGCCACCCGGCTTTTGCAAGTTGCTTCCTATTGGAAGGTGGAGGCTGACACCACAACCTGTAACGCATGCCTGACTGCCTGTGTGCGACAGTGGGAGATGGTCGTGCACATGATGGGGGCTTCGCTGGCTCAGCAGGTTTCAGCCGACACCGTGGGCATAAACGCCGCGATCTCATCCCTCGCTACGGACAGCATATGGGCACGGGCGATCGCTTCGTTGCGGGGAATTCCAGGCTGTAATGGGGTAGAGGCTGACATCTTCGGCTTCAACTCTGTGCTGACGGCTCTCGCGAGGTCCAAGCATTGGGCTCACAGCAGCGCACCACAGCTTGAGTTCGCTGAAGGTTTTTAGTGCCTTTGTTGCCCGAACGATTCTCCAAGCGTTATTGATGGATCCAGTGTGCCGTGCACGCGTCCTCAGCACTCATGACTAATTGTTGCCTGGTACGACTGTGGTCATTAGGTCTTGTCATTGCTACCATCATTGGGTTCTTGTGAAACATAAGCTAGGAGAAGCAGGGTTCCCTCTCATACCCCATAATGTCTTCTTGGGCTCTTGAAAGAGAGAACCATCGTTTTGTGAAGGCCCATTTGGCCTCAGCTGCTGGCTCAGCCAAGGCCATTCTCGAAGAGCTCCGGTTTACCAGCCTGGAGGCTGATCAGCTTGTAGATATCTGTGGTTTTCACAGTGATCCCATCATCATCCCGAGTAAGAATCCTAATTTTACGGACCCCAGAATGCCGCATACATGGGGTATGCCCCATACATGAGGTGAGCGTGAGGGAGGGTACATTCCTCACAGGCTGACGAGCTGGCCCTGAGCACCTCGATCGCCTCGTGCCGGGGACGGCAGCGAGAACTTTTATATAACCCTGGGGGTCTAGGGTTTAGAGTACATCCAGGGACCCGATGATTGCAATCATTGGGTCAAGCAGAGACTGCCAGCACTGAAAGTGGGGAGCAACGTATTTGGCCGCTTCATAATCCTTACCAGCACTGCAGAATAAGGGCGTTCCCATTTTTTAGAAGCCTCTAAAGTGATGAAATGATCCAGGTGCAGTTCCTGTTTGCAGTGGACGCAAGCCTTGGTGCTGCTGCCTGCCATGCAGCTGGGCTTGGACACGGAGACTTAGAGACCTCAACCCCGTGGGCCCTCATATTCTGCTCGCAAAAAATTCAATCCTGCCCAAAGGGCAGGGCCATTTGCGGAACCTTCACGCTGTCAATATTAAAGCCCTAGATTAAGCATGAGTGAACATTCGTTACTTCTACCTGAATAAGTCATTCATGTAGGCACTCCATGTTGTTTCATGTTGACCAGTTGAAGTCTGTGCTGGCATTGCGCTTCTCGATCATTCTGCGAAAATGAGGCAAGCCGATCTGGAGCTGGAGGCACACAACAATCTTCTGATTTTCAACATTCCAGGTAGGCAGCGATGCTTGGCAGTCATGCTTAGCAACCAATGCCAGCATACTTGGTCATGTTAGCTGCTCCTGCTGCTGCTGCTGCTGATGGTGGCAGCAGCGGCGGTGGTGGCAGTGGTGATGCCGGTGGCGGCGGCTGGGCGGTGGTTGCGGCGGCGGTGGCGGCGCTGGCGGTGGTACTCGCCGCCTCCTCCAGGAAATGTAGCAGCGGCAGCAGAAGTAGAAGTGAGGGAAGCAGCAAGATGCATTTTGATTCGTAGCGATAGCGATAGCAGGAGTTAGCAATAAACATACTGGAGTCAACGCTTTATAGAAGAGCAGTGGGGACCTATCATGGTCTGGAATGAATGTTTGTCTCAAGCTCGGCCCATCGCAATCTCCTAAGCATGAGGGTCACAGGTTTAGGGGTACTCGTAAACTACCAAACCAGCTACAGCTGCTTGTTAACTGTAGTCATCATAGAAATTCATGGGGCACCCACAATTCTCACAAGCACAGCAAAGATGCCCCGCAAGGGCTCTGACGCGGGCCCCCTGGCGGCTGCCTTGGATGGCACCTGGATCAGTGTTGAGCTAAAATCGAATAGTAGCTTCCATTTCGTTTTCCATTATCCCTAAATAACCCCCATGTATACCCTATTCTAATATAGTAGTTTCCATTTGATTTTCCATTGTCCCTATCGAACCGATGTGCCAACTTATGGTTTCTGCAAGATTGGGTCACATTTCTCGGGGAGGATGGGGAGGGAAATTTAGCACTGACCCACATCCTTGGACCTCTGCAATTACTGTAAAGTCCGCGCAACGCTGTTGATGATCTGCTTCGACATGTTTGTATCGGTGCTGCAGTACGCATGTCCTGCCGTTGTCAAATCATGTCCTGATAAAGGACAATGTGGCTACGGGCTAGCGAAGCCATTTCTTTGGCGGAAGGACTCCTGAGAGATTCCACTACACTTGAGAGATATTGACAGAAAAGCAATTGCCCAAATGACGCTGATCGGCCACTCTCCCTGACGGCCTCAAATTTACCAAATTGAGCCCAATTATCAACACGAGCTTCACAGCGCCAGACAGTATCCCGAAACGCATGCCTGCACAAAGCTCGCCGTCTCTGACATTTGTTTGCCAAAATTGGATTCGATCTACTACGCGCATTGAAGCAACGACACAAAAATGTGCAAACAGCTTCACATAACAAAAGTTGCGGAGATTGTCCAAAAAGCGTTCCGATCATGTCCGATCTACCCGAAGAACTCGAGCAATTTTTGTGGACATGTGGGGCTTGTTCAGACTCAACCCGACATGTCACAGGACGGCTGGCCGGACTTTTGTCTATTTCTTAAGCTTCTGCTGGGAGTTGATGTTGGCACTCCGCCCGACGTCCAGGAGTGATTTCAGGAGCTTTGGAAATCGCCAGGTTCCGAACGCTGAAATTTCAGCACATTTCTGAAAATTCAACCAGCGCTATCATGCATAAGTAAAACTCCTCTGGCAACAAAAAACCTTACATGAACCGCCATGCTGTCCTGACAAAGCCTTAAAGCTGAAGCTGGCAATCTAAGCCCTTAAGCCCTCAATCCTAAACCCCAAAAGCCGAAACCCTAACCCTAGATTCTAGATATTTCTAGATAGTACTCGTAGTTTCCATATTCTCTTCCAGATCCCTACATAACCCCATTATATATCCTATGATAATAGGGTGGTTTCCAGTTTCTTTTCCATTGCTCCTACAAAAACCCCTTGGAGCCCAGGTATGGTTGCTGCCTGCATCGGCCTCCAGGCCTGCTAAACCCTAAATCCTAAACCCTACATCCTAAACCCTACTAGTACATATATTATTTGTTGTACGACTACGACTACGGCTGCTGCTACTACTACTACTACTACTACTATCCAGGCCTGCGCTCCTGTGCCTGGGCTGCTTGCTCAACTTCGGAGGCAGCTGACCTCAGCCTCTGGGCTCCATGGGATTAACGTAGGAGCAAATACTACTATCCAGGAGGGTTTAGGGCTTAGGGCTTAGGGTTTAGGGTTTAGGGTTCAGGGTTCAGGGTTTAGGGTTTAGTGTTTAGGTACGAAGAATGGAAAAGAAAATGGAAACCACCAAGTTACAGGGTATATAGGGGGTCATATACGGATTTTATAGGGATAATGGAAAGAAAATGGACACCACCATATTATAGGGCAATAGAGGGGTTATATAGGGATAATGGAAGAGACATTTGAAACTACTACATTGTAATGGGGTACATAATAAGATTATATAGGGATAGTGGAAAAGAAAATGGAAACCGCTGCACTGTAATAAGGTACATAATGGGGTTCTACAGGGATAATGGAGAACAACATGGAAACTACTATTTGAGGTTTTGGATTCACTCACCGCCAAGGATTCCGACAGAGAACCCTCGTTACCGACAAGATTTCGGTTTTCAGAGCATCCGATTACCAGAGCATCCAAGGTCACTCACAATCTTGCGCAGCTTCGGCTACAACTATTGTAGCCTCTAAAAAGGAGAATTTCGGGACCCTCATGCAAAAACACCGCATTCATGTTCGAGAGCTTACGATTACCCGGGCATCCATGTCCAAGCAGATAATGTTAATGTTTGAGAGCATCCCATTCCCAAAGCATCCATGCCCAA